ACATACATATGTGATAAAACCATAGAGGGGAAAAAATGCAGAAATGAATATACAATTTGGCAGCAGAGGGGTGGGGCTAGGGGAGGCAGCTGATTGAGAGAGTAATGTTATTAGAAAGATTCTAGGTCTGTGCTCTCCAGTATAGTAGCCGCAGGCCACACGTGATTATTTAAGTAAAATTAGATAAAATGTGAAATAGAGTTTCTCAGTCACGTTAGCCACATTTCAGTTGTCAGTACCCACGTGTGCTTGTGGATGTTGTATTGAACAGAACACATGCTGATCATTGTCATCGTGCAGAAAGCTTGGTGGAACAGTGCTGTTTTAGAACGTGAGTGGATGATTTACTTCACTAGTATTTATGATTTTTCAAAACGTGTGTGTAGATGCACAGAGAAATATATATTTCAATTTGTATTAAATATTACACTTGGAAAAACTCTGGTTCGCTAATTTCTGTTTTCTACTCCCCTACCTAAATTACCATGGATAACTAACTAAAATTTGCTTGCTCCTAAAATGTTAAGATTGAACTTGATCTGTAGATTCCCTCCTGCTAAAAATACATTTTCTGAAGTCATCCCACCAAGTACTCCTCAGTGTATCTTAAATTTGAGCAGTATGATACAGGAGAACCCTTGGTGATCATAAATGCCAGTCTCCTGAATAAATTCACTGTAATATAGCAGTTGAAGTTAAAATTTTATTGAACTTCTCATTTTTTCAGTCTTACTGATTTTTATAACACTATAATTGCTTTAGTTTTAGAATTTCTTGGACTGATTTTCCTCTTTAGTGAAGTACCTCTAACCTTTAAGCTCATGGCACTGTTGAAGTCAGACTTCCTTAGAGTGTTAATACAGAACTCTCTTAGGAAAGCTATGCAGTCTGTGTCCTAATATTACACTAAGAAGTTATGTTGAAGGTAACAATAATTTTTTTTTCAGGACAGGTAGAACAAGTCCTTTTTTTCCCCCACGTGTCAAAAAGGCAAATCAGATATTTGATAGTGACATTTGGGTCTTTAGGCTCTAAGGAAGAGGGCTTTTTATCCCTTTTGACATGCTTCCATAGCAGTTTTTCAGTTAAATTGATTCTTTTTTAAAAAATTTATTTTATTTATTTGGAAGACAGAGTTACAGAGAAAGATAGAGACAGAGAGAGAGGTCTTGCATCCACTGGTTCACTCCCCAGATGGCCGCAATAGCCGGAGCTGCGCCGATCTGAAGCCAGGAACCAGGAACTTCTTCCAGGTCTCCTACATGGGTACAGGGACCCAAAGGACTTGAACCATCTTCTGCTTTCACAGGTCACAGCAGAGAGCTGGATCGGAAATGGAGCAGCTGGGAGTAGAACCGGCACCTATATGGGATGCCGGCACTTCAGGCCAGGGCTTTAACCTACTCCACCACAGTGCCGGCCCTGGTTAAATTGATTCTAATATAGCCCTATCCAGCCATCAGTAATCCCATTTTTAGAGAATGTTAAGGACACAGAAAATAGCTTATACTGTAAACAGAAAACAACATGTTCATGATACGTATATTCCAGGTGACAGCAGTGCAGCGTATTACACATTTTTGTAGTGTTTGAAGATAGAATAAATTTATTCAATTTTGTTGACACTAAGGCTCACTTTGTCCATTGGCCTGCTGGTTTAGTACTGATTAGTTTTTAGTTTCCATGCTCAGTGCTGTAGACAACAATTGATTTCTGTATCTACTCCTATAAATCTACCTGTTTGCTAACTCCTCTCTATAAGGAATATAATCCAATCAAAGGCAAACCTTGTGCCAAGTGCTCTGGGCAGACAGTGATCCTTCCCCTCAAGATGTTCAACGTCATAGACTTTTTCCCCTGTCAAAGTCTTCCTACCTGAGAATGACCTCCCCCTTAATTTTTAAAAAGCTTTATTTATTTATTTGAAAGGCACGGAGACAGAGAGGAAGAAAGAATCTTCCCTCCACTTGTTCACTCACTCCCCAGATGGCTGCAGCACCTAGGACTAAGCCAGGTGGAAGCCAGGAGTCAGGAACTCCATCTGGGTTTTTCACATGGGTGGCAGGGATTCAAGTACTTAAGCCATCATCTGTGGCTTTTCAAGCGTTAGCAGGGAGTTGAATCAGAAGCAGTGTAGTCTAGACTTGCAGCCGGCACTCCAGTGTGGAATGTGGGTGTTGCAAGCCATGGCTTAACCCACTGCAACACAACACCTGCTCTCTCTTCCCACTAATTTTCTGCACCATTCTAGACTCTAGGCTGAACTGTTAAGACTCAGTTCCTCCAGAAAACCTTTCTATAATTGAGATGTGCCTTATGGTGATTTTTCATGTCTTCCCTGTACTGACTGTTGAATACATATATATATATTTAAAGATTTATTTATTTATTTACTTGAAAGAATTACAGAGAGAGAGGGAGAGGGAGAGGGAGAGAGAGAGAGAGAGAGAGAGAGATCTTCCATCTGCTGGTTTACTCCTTAGTGGGCCATAAGGGCCCAGGCTGGGCCGTGCCCATGCCAAGCCAGGAGCCAGGAGCTTCATCTGGGTCTCCTGGTTGAGTGGCAGGAGCCCAGGCACTTGGCCATTCTACACTGCTTTCCCAGGCACTTGATACTGTCTCATTTTGGTTAGCAGGGAGCTGGATTGGAAGTGGAGCAGCCGAGACCTGAACCAGTGCCCATATGGGATGCTGGTGATACAGGTGGTGGCTTTACTCATCATGCCACCACACTGGTTCCCATATTTTGTTTAATATCTTACTTTAAGTATGTTAATTATGACATTTTCATACATGTTTGTTGAAGTAAGTAGACATTAGAGTTTTATCTCTTATAAATGAAAAATGTAAGGTCAGAGACAGGAGACAGGATCCATTAGCAGTCACCCCCATTTCTTCCCAATCTCCACCCGTCCTAGGTACTCACTGTTCTGTTTTGTTTCTGTGGGTTTGTCAATTATGGATATTTCATATTTGTGGCCTTTTGTGTCTGTTTTTTTTACTTAATATGATGTTTTCAAGGTCCATCTGTGTGGTCACATGAGTGAATATTCCACTTGGTGAATATCCCACATTTTATTAGTTCACCAGTTCATGAACATTTCAATTGTTTTCACTTTTTGCCTGTTGAGAACAATTATGTGGGAGTTTTTATGTGCTTTCTATGTTTCATTTTTCTCGGAGATATACCAGAGAATGGAAATGGTGGGTCCTATGGTAACTCTGGTGTTTTTTTGTTTGTTTGTTTTGTTTTGTTTTTTAATTTCTTTTTATCCACTAGAGAAAGCAAGCGAGCGTGAGCTCCCCCATCTATTAGTTCCTTCCACAAATACTCTAAGCGGCTAGGACTGAGTAGCTGGGAACCCAGGCCAGGCCTCCACATAGGTGGCAGGAATGCAAGCACTTGAGCTGTCGCTGCTGCCTCACGTGGTCTGCAGGAAGCTAGTCGGGAGCCAGAGGCAGACCGTGAACCTAAGCTGTCCATCACAACCGCTAAGCCCAGTGCCTGTCCCTGTTCCATCTTTTGAAGGACCACTAGCTTGTTTTCCAAAGCAGCTGCACCATCTTCTCCCTGGCATTGGTGTATGTGTGCAAGTGTAGGAGAGCTCTGATCTCTCCACATATTCTCCAACTCTTGATACTGTCTCATTTTGGTTCTAGCCTACTTTTTATTTATAGTATGACTCTTCCAACTTTTTTGTTCTTTTTCAAGATTGCTTTTGGCTACTGTGGGTCCCTTGAATTTCCATATACATTTTAGAATCAGTTTGTACATTTTTGCAAAGAAAAAAAGGCAGCAACCGGATTGGGTAGGCATTATATTGAATCTGTTGGATAATATTGACATCTTAACATTATGAAGTCACTGGATCCATTAACATGGGATATTTTTCCATTTCTTTACATGTATTTTGTATCATCAATTTTTTGTAGTTTTCAGTCTCAATTTCATACCTTCTTGGTGGATTTATTTCTAAATATTTTACTCTTTTCTCAGAATAGCTATAGATTCAATATGCTATTTTTCTTTCATTTAATCCTCATCATAAGTGTAGGAGGTGGGTATTATTTCTCTTTGCAGATGAGAAAAATAAATTCAAAGAAATTGCCCACACTACAACCAAGGTTGCATTTCTGGGATGAATGAGGCGGCAGTACACCCAGCGTGATTGCAGTCTCTTGCATACTTTTTAAAAATTTATTTATTTATTTATTTATTATTATTTTTTTGACAGGCAGATTTAGACAGTGAGAGAGAGAGACAGAGAGAAAGGTCTTCTTTTCTGTTGGTTCACTCCCCAAATGGCCGCTATGGCCGGTGCAGTGCGCCAATTCAAAGCCAAGAGCCAGGTGCTTCCTCTTGGTCTCCCATGCAGGTGCAGGGCCCAAGGACTTGGGCCATCCTCCACTGCACTCCCGGGCCACAGCAGAGAGCTGGCCTGGAAGTGGAGCAACCAGGACAGAATCCGGTGCTCCAACCAGGACTAGAACCCCAGGGTGCCAGCGCTGCAGGCAGATGATTAGCCAAGTGAGCCACAGCGGCGCCAGCCATCTTGCATACTTTTGACTATCCCCATGTATCCCAGGGTGGGAGGGGGAGGTCCGCTTTCCCGAGTGAGTGAAGTGATCGAGAAAGAGAGCTGAATCGTTCATGGTTGTGAATGGCGTCATTCACTGTGCTCTTCAGGGTGTGTTTGAAGGCAGGCTGATTCAGTATTTAAAGGCTTGGGTCCTGGGTTTGAGTTCTGGCTTCACTTGCTGTCTGACTCAGCAAATATTTTGATTCTCTGGCTTTCATTTTATCCTTCTGTAAAGTAGAGAAATTGTAAGCCCTAACTACCTTGTGGGTCATCATTGAAAAGATGAAATCAAACAGTTCATGTTTAAAAAGCTTAGAGCCTAGAACTCAGTGCATATTGAATGTTCAGTTAAATATTAAATGTAATTCCTGTGTTACTCATAGCTTTATTTTTATTCCATGCTCATTTTTGTCTTTTTAGTACAAGTTCAGGGATCTAACTGTGGAAGAACTGAAGAATGTAAATACATTTTTCCCACATTTCAGATACTCCATGGACACCTATGGTAAGAATCATATCTTCTAGTTTTGCCACATTATCTGAACTTAATTATTTGGCCCTAGAGAGCTTCAGAATCATCATTTCTTATTTTCCCATTTTATCTGATTTTGAGTGAAACAATGTGACCTGTGGTTTCTGAAGAAATGTGAATGAGTACAATATCTGTTGTGTTAGTTTCCTATTGCTACTGTAACGAGTCACCACAAGCTTAGCCAGCTTAAAAAGATACAAGTTCACTGTCTTACAGTAGACAGAAAGTCAGCACAGGTTTTTGTGGCATGCAGGTTCAGCTGGGCTGCAGTCAAGGTGTCAGCTCCTTTCTGGAGGCCCTGCAGGAGGATCTGTTTCCTTGCCCTGTCGGTTTCTAGAAGGCATTCAGCATTCCTTGGCTCTTGTTCTCCTTTCTCCATCTTCAAAACCATTGTCTCTAACCATTGTGTAGTCAGTTCTTGCTGTGACCACAGTTGGGAAAGGTTCTCTGTTTATAATCTCAGGGATGTGAATGTTGATGCAAGATTGAGAATAATGTTAGAGAAACCAAAGAAAATCATTATCAATCTTTCTAGAAGGTTATTTTACAAAATAAACTGGGGCCAGTGCTATGTTGCAGCAGTTGAAGCCATGGCCTGCAGTGCTAGCATCCCATGTGGGCACCACTTCTAGTTTTGGCTGCTCTACTTCCAATCCAGCTCCCTGCTAATGGCCTGGGAAAAGAAGCAGAAGATGTCCCAAGTGCTTGCACCCCTGCACCCACATGGGAGACCCAGAAGAAGCTCCTGGCTCCTGGCTTCAGACTGGAGCAGTTACAGCCATTGTGGCCATTTGGGGAGTAAACCAGCAGATGGAAGATCTCACTCTGTCTCTGCCTTTCCTTCTCTGTAACTCTGCCTTTCAAATAAATGAATAAAATCTTTAAAGAAAAAAAAAAGTAAAGTATTAGCAGCCAACCGCGTGGTGCAGTTGGTTAAGCCACAACCTGTAATACCAGCGTCCCGTGAGTGCCAGTTTAAGTTCCAGATACTCCACTTTCGATCCAGCTCCTTGCTAATGTGCCTAGGAAAGCCTCAGAAGATAGTCTAAGTATTTGGGCCCCTGCCACCCACTTGGAAACCTGGATGGAGTTTCCTGGTTTTGGCCTGGCCCAGCTCCTGCAGTTGCAGCCATCTTGGGGGTGAACCAGCGGAAGGAAGACCTTTCTCTTCTGTTTCTGTCTGTAACTCTGCCTTTCAAGTAAATAAATAGATAAATAAACAAAACTTTAAAAAAAAAGTATTATAAAATGTAGAGATATTTAATTATTGTCATTTGTAACAAATCAGTTATAATCATTTTTATAATCAAAAAGTGTTAACTTATTTTTTCTTTAAAGATTTATTTATTTGAAAGAATTACAGAGAAGAGAAGGAGAGACAGAGAGTTCTTCCATCCTCTAGTTCACTCCCCAAGTAGCCACAATGGCCAGGGCTGAGCCAAGCCGAAGCCAGGAGCCAGGTGCTTCATCTGGGTCTCCCACTGGGTGGCAGGGGCCCAAGTACTTGGGCCATCTGTTGCTGCTTTCCCAGGGTCATTAGCAGGGAGCTGGATCAGAAGTGGAGTAGCTTGGTCTCAAACCAGCACCCACATGGGATGCCAGCACTGCAGGCAGTGGCTTAACCCACTATGCCACAGCGTTGGCCCCCAATTCTTTACTTCTTATGAAGGGTTTTCACGTTATCTCATTTGATCCTTATGACAACTTTGTGAAGCGTTATTATATTTGTTTTATGGGTGACAAAACTGAAGATCAAAGAGATTAAAGTGACTAAAAGTCACTCTATGTGGGGAAGGTGGTCCTAGAACTTGGGACTTATTTTAGTATCAAAGTCCTACATTCTTTCTCTGTACTCTCTGCTTTCTAAGTAAGCAGTATCTAATAATTTCTCCTTGCCTACATGTTTAGTGATTGCTGAGTGATGCTATTTAGAGATTGTGTGGTATGTGTATAGGGTTATGCCTACATATAACCTGTGTTTACTACACTCTTTAATACCGTTCTTCCTACTTCTAATGGCACATTTCGGGGCTTTTTTTTCTTTCAGTTTTTAAAGATAGTTCCCAGAAAGATCTGCTGAATTTTACTGGCACTATTCCTGTGATGTATCAGGGTAAGTATGGGCATTTTCTTTCTTTATTTTTTTTTTAAGATTTATGTATTTTTCAGCCATAAAGCAGAATGAAATCCTGTCTTTCATAAGAAAATGGATGCAATTGGAGACCATTATGCTTAGTGAAACAAATCAGTCCCCAAAATACAAATGTCTTATGTTTTCCCTGATTTGTGGGAACTAATATGCAGGGTACACATAATATGTAATGTAAATGAGCAAAACTGACAATTTTGAGATTTGATTAATGCTTATAGTCTATATTCTTGTGGAATAGTGGTTTTTCTACTTACTACTTATTGAATTCCTTATTTAGTGGAGGGTTAAGATTGTGATTATAAAGTAAATTGAAAGTATGTCAGTGTAAAAATGAAAAGAAAAATAAGAAAGGAAGGAGAGAGGGTAGGAGCGAGGAAGGGAAGGAGAGTAGGGCGGGAAGTAGCATACTCTTAAAATTGTATATATGAGATACATGAAATTTATTCCCTTTATATAAATAAAAAATTAGTTATAAAAAAAGAATTGAATTGGTTGTGTCAAGTCCTAAGCAAATAATAATAAATAAGCCAGGAGCTCGTATAGAAGAGATCCCATGCACATGTACCTAACAAGAACAAGCCGAACCCGAGACTACCAGGACCACAACCTTGCACAAAGGCCAGTGCAACCTTGCACAGAAAATACTCCTGCAAGGAAATATTCATTGTGGCCATGGATTATGGTTTCCGAATAACATATGCCATCCTCTTCATTTTACCTTTAAAAGCTTTCCTTCACCTGTGCCTGTTGAATATACCCATGGGTTCCATGTCATGTGCAGTTTCTATAGTGGTGCTCCCTGTTTATCCCCAAATGAATATCATTATTATTTTTTTTTTATTTTTATTTTTTGACAGGCAGAGTGGACAGTGAGAAAGACAGAGAGAAAGGTTTTCCTTTGCCGTTGGTTCACCCTCCAATGGCTGCCGCGGCCGGCGCACCGTGTTAATCCAATGGCAGGAGCCAGGTGCTTCTCCTGGTCTCCCATGGGGTGCAGTACCCAAGGACTGCACATCCTCCACTGCACTCCCGGGCCACAGCAGAGAGCTGGCCTGGAAGAGGGGCAACCGGGACAGAATCCGGTGCCCTGACCGGGACTAGAACCTGGTGTGCCGGCGCCGCAAGGCAGAGTATTAGCCTAGTGAGCCGCGGCGCCGGCCTTATCATTATTCTTTAAAAAAATTTACTTATTTATTCAAAAGGCAGAGTGATGTGAGCTAGCTAGCAAATACATCTATCTGTGAATGCATATAGCCAAAATACCATGCTGCCTTTCATGCATTGTATTTTCTGTTTAATTCCATTCTGAAATGCTGTTTGCAGCTCACTAATTTAATATATTTAATTTCATGACCCATTATTATTTTTTAAAGACTTATTTATTTATTTGAAAGTTAGACTTATGGAGAGAGGGAGAGACAGAGATCTCTTCATCTGCTGGTTCACTCCCCAGGTGGTCACAATGGCCAGGGCTGAGCTGATCCAAAGCCAGGAACTTCATCTGGGTCTCCTTCATGGGTACAGGAACTCAAACATTTGGGCCATCTTCTACTGCTTTTCCCAGGCCATCAGCAGGGATCACAAATCTATAAGAAAGAAATTACTGTTAACCTCAGTTTATAGAAGGAATCCAGGCACAGAGAAGTTAAATAACTTGCCTGAAGCCATATGGCTTGTAAAATGTGGAACTGGGATTTGAACCCAGGGCACACTTTCTCCTGAGCAGCCATGTTCTTAAGTACATATATAATAAGATTATGAAAGGAACAACTATCAAGAGATATAACAGCTAAGGTAAATTATCAGATTTCTAGTCTAAGGTTAGTTTTTGTACTTATTTTAGGTCTAGCTTTATTCCTGTGTTGTATCAAGGTAAGTATGGAAGTTTTCTTTCTTTTTTTCTTTCTTTTTCTTAAAGATATACTTTAAAAAATTTTACAAGCAAAGCAGTGAGAGATTGTGGCGTGGTAAGTTTGACTTACCTGGCTGAAACTGGAAGAGCCCACTGAAGTTCCTGTCTCAGCCCCGTCCTTCAGTAGTTTTTTGACCATGTTGTAGTTCCTGTTTAACAGGGCAGCCTGCTTCTCCTGTAGAATGAGAATACAGAAGTGCTTCCACAAGGTGCTGTTTCTTTTACTGTTTCCAAAAGATGGTAGACCACTTGCATCAAGATCTGTGTATGTGAGGGTGTAGCTGTGTGAAGATTGTCTCAGATGCAGATTTCGAAGCTCCACCCCACATCTACTAAATCTCAAATCTATGGAAGTGCGTGCTAGGTGTCTGCATGTTTTTCAGGTTCTTCAGATAATTTTTTTTTTTTTTTTTTTTGACAGGCAGAGTGGACAGTGAGAGAGAGAGACAGAGAGAAAGGTCTTCCTTTGCCGTTGGTTCACCCTCCAATGGCCGGCGTGGCCGGCGCACCGCGCCGATCCGGTGGCAGGAGCCAGGAGCCAGGTGCTTTTCCTGGTCTCCCATGGGGTGCAGGGCCCAAGCACCTGGGCCATCCTCCACTGCACTCCCTGGCCACAGCAGAGGGCTGGCCTGGAAGGGGGGCAACCGGGACAGAATCCGGCGCCCCAACCGGGACTAGAACCCGGTGTGCCGGCGCCGCTAGGCGGAGGATTAGCCTAGTGAGCCGCGGCGCCGGCCTTCTTCAGGTAATTTTGATGGTAAAAAGAAATAACTGGAAAAGGCAACTGTTAGGATTGTTTTCAGTTCTGAGTTCTGTATATCTAACTCAGCTTCACTGTTACAGTATGTGTGATTATTGGGCTCCATGAGGGCAGGTGTCAAACTCAGTTTGGTTCATTCACTCATTCACTTTTTTTTTTTTAAAGATTTTTATTTTATTTATTTGAAAGAGTTACAGAAAGAGGTAGAGACAGAGAGAGAGGTCTTCCATCTGCTGGTTCACTCCCCAGATGGCTGCAATGGCCGGAGCTGCACCAATCCCAAGCCAGGAGCCAGGAGCTTCTTCCGGGTCTCCTACATGGGTGCAGGGGCCTAAGGACTTAGGCCGTCCTCCACTGCTTTCCCAGGCCATAGCAGAGAGCTGGATCAGAAGTGGAGCAGCTGGGACTAGAACCAGTACCCATATGGGATGCCAGTGCTTCAGGCCAGGCCTTTAACCCACTGCACCACAGCACCAGCCCCTACTCATTCACTTTTGATCTGTTCATTCTTACTCATATAAGAAGTTTCTATTAAGCAGCTAGTATATATTAGGTATTATATTTGTTGCTAGGGGTATAGCAATGAATAAGACATTATCTCCTGTAGAAGTCTATAGTGTAACAGGAAAACAAATCTGTAAGTAACTAATTTCTATATAGAATTAATATAAAAATGGAGGTGTCCACTCCCTTCCAGGAAAGTTGTAATATCTGCTTGGTTAAGATACATTAAATTATATAGAGAATATGTTATATTCCAAACTCCTGGCACAGCGGACTGTGTAAATATCCATTGAATCGGATGAACTGGCCATTGTATTAATTGAATTTCCTCAAGTGTTATACTGGTGCTGTAATAAGAACATATTTCTGTTGGGAATGTGGATGGTATGTGGGAAATTGGCCTTGATTTGCATTAACCCATTATATATCAATTTGATGAACCTACACATTCCTTAAAATGTCCTGTAGCATTATCATGGTATGTATTCTTCATTATTGTTTGAAGATGTGTTTATTTTGTGTCTAATAGGTAATACGTATAACATACCAATTCGCTTCTGGATTTTGGATTCTCACCCTTTTGCTCCCCCAATTTGCTTCTTGAAGCCAACTGCAAATATGGGAATCTCAGTTGGAAAGCATGTGGATGCCCAAGGCAGAATATACTTACCCTATCTGCAGAGCTGGAGCCATGTAAGTTCAATCGGGTTTTCTTTAAAAGGTTTTTATTTTTCTAAATTTTATTTTTGATCCTGATGACACAATTAAGTATAATGCTATGTTTCAGTGTTACTCTTCATATGATCTTTAAAAGTAATTTGGAATTGAGTTTCTTAGGTTCACCCAAGTCCCAGAACCCTTACGACAGCAGCCTGTACAAAGCTGATCTCTGCAGGTCTGGGTGCCAACTATTACTTGCTCGCTGACTTTTTTTTCCCCCTAAAGACTTATTTATTTGAAAGGCAGAGTGACAGAGAGAGGGAGACACACACACACACACACACACACACACACAGGCCTTTCATCTGCTGAGTCACTCCCCAAATGCCCATAACAGCAGGAACTCAGCCAGGCTGAAGCCAGGAGCCAGGAACTCCTTCTTTTTTTTTTTTTTTTTTTAAACAGGCAGAGTGGACAGTGAGAGAGAGACAGAGAGAAAGGTCTTCCTTTTCCATTGGTTCACCCCTCAACGGCTGCCGCGGCTGGCGCGCTGCAGCCGGCGCACTGCACTGATCCGAAGCCAGGAGCCAGCTGCTTCTCCTGGTCTCCCATGCGGGTGCAGGGCCCAAGCACTTGGGCCATCCTCCACTGCACTCCCGGGCCACAGCAGAGAGCTGGACTGGAAGAGGAGCAACCGGGACAGAATCCTGCGCCTCCACTGGGACTAGAACCCGGTGTGCCAGCGCCACAGGTGGAGGATTAGTCTATTAAGCCGTGGCGCTGGCCAGGAACTCCTTCTGAGTATCCTATGTGGTTGGCAGGAACCCAGGTGTTTGGGCCATCATCCAGTGCCTTCCCAGGTCTTAAGAGGAACCTGGATCAGAAGCAGAGTGGCCAGGTCTCAAACTGGCACTCCAATGTGGGCAGAGGTTCAATTGCTGTGCCACAGTCCCCACCCCGTGCTCTTTGCTACTTGAGAAAGCACATGAAAAGCTACTAGCAAGATATTGGAGCTTTATTTCCTAGTTCCTCACTATTAAAGATTCTTACATAGTATATGTATTTCTTTGCAGTTTTGCTTATTTCTGACCCTTATCATTATGTAATCTTCTGTGATGTGCTTTATTTTAACTGAGTGTAAGTTTTTAAAATTCATCCATGTTGATATATATAACTAGTTGATTTTATATCCTTATATTATGCAATTTTGTATGCTATATTGTTATCTACCATTATATTGAGCATTTCTCTATATTAAACTTTTCAGAATACATATTTTACTGGTTGTCTGATGATTCATCATGAGTATAATGTATTTATAAGTTGACCTATTGTAAGGCATTTAATGTTAAATATCCCTAAAAGTAAATGTTTGTGTATAGCTTCTGTATCTTTGTTTCCTGATGAAAAATCTCTAAGAATTATTGGATCAAAGATTTCAGGTATTTTAAAGATCTTGTTGTGTATTGCCAAACTTACTTCCAGAAGGTAGAAAAAATATGATATTCTTGCTACTAGTAGAAATCAGTATAGAAGGGCACTTTTTAATTAATTAATTAATTTATTTTTTGACAGGCAGAGTGGACAGTGAGAGAGAGGGAGACAGAGAGAAAGGTCTTCCTTTTGCCGTTAGTTCACCCTCCAATGGCCGCCATGGCCAGCGCACTGCGCTGATCTGAAGGCAGGAGCCAGGTGCTTCTCCTGGTCTCCCATGGGGTGCAGGGCCCAAGCACTTGGGCCATCCTCCACTGTACTCCCGGGCCACAGCAGAGAGCTGGACAGGAAGAGGAGCAATCGGGACAGAATCTGGCGCCCCAACTGGGACTAGAACCTGGTGTGCCGGCGCCACAGGCGGAGGATTAGCCTGTTGAGCCATGGTGCCGGCCCCAGGGCACCTTTTTTTTTTTTTTTCAATAGTACTCTTGCTCCAATAGACGATATCATTAAAACAAGGCAGGTCTTTGTTTATCTCCATACATTGATATAGATCGATACATCATATGCACTCATCTTTGTACGCAATTAAAATTCTTATAAGAGCATAATTTATAACATACTCATATGTAGTTAGAAAGCTGTAGGGCTGGAAGAAAGGGATAGGTTGAAGTTGAGTGAAGTTGAGATAAATGATTGTGTTGGGAAGATCCCTTCTGTGCTTTTTTATAAGATTTATTTATTTATTTGAAAGAAAGAGTTACAGAGAGAGAAGAAGAGAGAGAGAGAGAGAGAGAGAGGGAGAAAGAGAGAGGGAGAGAGAGAGAATCTTCGATCTTCTGGTTCCCTCCTGAGATGGGTGGGGGTTGGGACAGGCCAAAGTCAAAAGCCAGGAGCTTTTCTGTGTCTTCCATGGGGGTGGAGCGGCACAAACACTTGGGCCATCTGCTGTTGCTTTTCCTAGGCCATTAGCATGGAGCTGGATTGGAAGTGAAGCAGCAAGGACTTGAACAGGCACCCATATGGGATGCTGGTGCTTCAGGCAGCAGCCTTAGCCTCTATGCCTCAACATGCTGGTTCCAGGATGATCACTTCTTATTTTATGAACATCTTTTGAAAGATGTGCAATTATGTGCATTTTACTCTGTTTCTATGGTCTTCTATATTTTTCATATGTAAAACTTTTAAAAGAAGAGAGAAAAAAGAAAAAGTACAGATACCAAATTGTCAGTAGTATTGATGTTTTACTTTATGAACATATATTATTTACTTACTTTCTAATATAAATAAGACTACCATGTAAATTTAGCATAATGAAAATTGGTGAGTTAGAAGGACAAAAATGGTATCTTTATCTTAGCCTTCAGTTATTTGAGAAATTAAAGTCTTTTTCATGTATTTATCAGTCATGTACTTTTCTTCATTTTTAAAAAATTTTTAAAGATTTATTTATTGGGGATGGCACTATGGTATAGTGGGTGAAGCCACCGCCTGCAGTGCCGGCATCCCATATGGGCACCGGTTTGAGTCCCGGCTGCTCCACTTCCAATTCATTCCCTACTGATGCACCTGGGAAAGCAGTGGAGGATGGCCCAAGTGCTTGAGCCTCTGTACCTATAAGGGAGACACAGAAGAAGCTCCTGGCTCCTGGCTTCAAATCAGTCCAGCTCCAGCCATTGTGGCCATTTGGGGAGTGAACCAGTGGATGAAAGATTCTCTCTCTGTGTCTGCCTCTGCCTCTGCATCTCTGTAACTCTGACTTTCTTTTTTAAAGATGTATTTATTCATTTGAGAGGTAGAGTTACAGATAGAGAGAGGGAGAGACAAAGAGAAAGGTCTTCTATTTGCTGGCTCACTCCCGCGACGGCCAGAGCTGGGCTGATTCAAAGCCAGGAGTCAGGAGCTTGTTCCAGGTCTCCCATGCGGGTGCAGGGGCCCAAGCACTTTGGCCATCTTCTACTGATTTCCTAGCCATAAGCAAAGAGCTGGATCAAAAGAAGAACACCTGGGATACAAACTGGTGCCCATATGGAATGCCGTCGCTGCAGGTGGAGGCTTAGCCTACTATGCCACAGTGCCAGCCCTTTCATTTTTTATTTTTTGAATTGTCTATTTATGTCCTTTGTCCATTGTTGGCTTTTTATTCTGCAAATTGTATTTTTTAAAATTTGTTTTGTTTAAGGAATACATTTTCATGCATTTAATATAGACAGATTTGGGAAGGTGATGCTTCTTCCCCCGTTGCAAACAGTATTTTGATACCTGTGCCCTGTTGCAGGAATTCACATAGCCTGATTCTTTTCTTTGGATTTCTTTCACATCTCTTTTCATAGTTTTGTCTGTTTAATAAATACTCAATGATAATACTGTAATTCAGATGAGGTTGTGCTTGATTTCAGTTAAAACAGTATTGATTTCATTTTGCTATTCTTAGTCTCTCTATTATAACCTAAGACTAGTCCCTAAACGTTACTACAATATCTAGATTGCCCTATTTGGAAGTACTAAAATACCTTTATGTTCCACATGCAGTTGGGATTATGGAGTTTTGGGGCTGGAAAGAATCTAGAGGTCATCATGTCAAAGGTTGCAGACAATTCCCCCAAGAGATTTGGAGGGCCACATTAAGCCTGCAGAATTTCACTTGAATAGCAAACTGATTGTGTTTTCCTCCCTTGTTGTTGTCCACAATATGAACTTGAATGCCTATAGATGTGCTCTGACCAGTTCGTCACAATAACCTATGCTTGGCAGCTTCACACATTTAATGTTATTTGCTCAATCTCTGAAGGTATTTGATTTTTTGACCCTAATGGCTTCACCCTAACGGGATTGGCTCATCCGCCCTCCCACCCTCCCATCCCCCCCTCCCCCTCCCCTCCCCTCCCCTCCCCTCCCCTCCCCTCCCCCTCCCCTCCCCTCCCCTCCCCTCCCCTCCCCCTTCCCTCCCCCTCCCCTTCCCCCTCCCCTCCCTCTCTTTCTCTTTCTCTCTCTCTCTCTCTCTTTCTTTTTTAAAGATTTATTTTATTTATTTGAAAGACAGAGTTAACAGAGAGAGAGGTCTTTCATCCACTGATTCACTCCCCAGATGGCTGCAACAGCCAGATCTAAGCCAATCCGAAGGCAGGAGCCAGGAATTCCACCTAGTTCTCCCACATGGGTGGCAGGGACTCAAGTCCTTGGGCCACCATCTGCTGCCTTCCCAGGCATATTAACAGGAAGCTGGATCAGAAGGAGAGTAGCCGGGCCTCACACCAGGCACTCTGATATGGAATGTAGCTGTCTCAAGAGCACCACAACACCCGTCTCAATTAAGCAGTTTTTAAATGAGCATACTACTAAATATTCCTAATAATAATAATAAACAACACTAGTTTTACTCTCAGAGCTTATAGTTTCCATGCCTTAATTTTTCTCATATTAGCCGTTTGGGATTTGGTATTCACATTGTATTACTGATGATACTGAAGTTCAGAAAGTTTCATGGAATTTCAGCAAGGTTGCTGAACCAGTTAAATCTAAATATTCGGGAAATATTTTATCATTACTAATTTTCTAATTTGGTAATGTCTGTGTTGGAGAATGTCTTTTTTTTTTTTTTTTCCTTTTGGAAAACACACTAAAGTAGGAGTAATGGAGCATCATAACCATAGTTTACCCTCCACTGGTTCAGAAAAAAATAGAAAGACTAATAAAGCAATTCTGATAAAATGAAAGCATGTGAGTATTCCAGGTGAAGAATATATATATTGTTTTTGCAGCTTTTCTCTGAGTCTGAAATTATTTGAAAGTAAAAAGATTTTGAAAAAGGAAGAGAGATAGTTCCCAAACCTAACTGTTTACCAATACAGTAATGCTGTTTTCCTATTTTGGGGAGGTGTTGACTTGGCATTTTTCACTTTTTGTTTTTCAGTATTAAAACAATTAAAAGTATGACATCATTTTTATGGTGGCCTTGGCAAAATGAGAACACGGTTGAGTACTCCCCATTGGCTATATCTGAGTCAAAGTACAGGTTTTTTTTGTTTTTGTTTTTTAAGGATTTATTTTATTTATTTGAAAGAGTTACACAGAGAGAGAAGGAGAGACAGAGACAGAGACAGACAGAGAGAGAGAGAGAGAGGTCTTCCATGCATTGGTTCACTCCCCAATTGGCTGAAATGGCCGGAGCTGTGCCAATCCGAAGCCAAGATCCAGGAGCTTCCTCCAGGTCTTCCCGCATGGGTGCAGGGGCCCAAGGACTTGGGCCATCTTCTACTTCTTCCCAGGCCACAGCAGAGAGCTGGATTGGAAGTGGAGCAGCCGGGACTTAAACTGACGCCCATTTGGAATGCTGGCATTGCAGGTGGCAGCTTTTACCCTCTATGCCACAGCGCTTGTCCCCAAAGTACGGTTTCTGAAGATGTATTCTTCTTGGGACTGGTCCTGTGGCATAGCGGGTTAAAGCCCTGGCCTGAAGCGCCAGCATCCCATGTGGGCACCAGTTCTAGTCCCTGCTGCTCCTCTTCTGATCCAGCTCTCTGCTATGGCCTGGGAAAGCAGTGGAGGATGGCCCAGGTCCTTGGGTCCCTGCACCCATGTGGGAGACCCGGAGGAGGCTCCTGGCTCCTGGCTCCTGGCTTCGGATGGGTGCAGCTCGGCTATTGCAGCCATCTGGGGTGTGAACCAGCTGATGGAAGACCTCTCTTTGTCTGCCTCTCTCTGTAACTGTGTCTTTAAAAATAAAAAATAAAATAAAAAAGATGTATTCTTTAGCAAAGTTTGTGTGTAACTTTTCCCTTTGTATGTGTTCTACAGCCTAAATCTGTCATTGTTGGATTAATTAAAGAAATGATTGCCAAGTTTCAAGAGGAACTTCCCTTGTATTCTCTGCCGTCATCTGATGAGGCTCGGCAGGCGGACTTGCTAGCTTATATTGCAAAAATCACGGAAGGTGTGTATTGTTGTCAGTCAGGTTGCCTTGAGAATTAGGAGTTTATAATTTTACGTTGTTTATTCTCTCCTACTTCATTTCTTTTTTTTTTTTTTAAGGTTTATTTTATTTATTTGGGAGGCAGAGTGACAGGGAAGGAGAGAGAGAAATATATATTCTATCCTCTGGTTCATTCCCCAAATGGTCTCAACAGCCAGGGCTGGGCCAGGCTAAAGCCAGGAGCCCAGAGTTCCATCTGGGTCTCCCATGTACATGGCAGGGACCCAAATACTCAGACTATCTTCCACTGCTTTCCCAGGCAGCTGGATCAGAAGCAGAGAATGAGGGACTTGAACCAGTGCTGTGATGTGGTATTCGGGGGCTGCAAGCAGTGGCTTAACCTGCACCACAGCATCAGCACTTTCTTGATTTCTATAATTAAATACATGCAAATATATGTGTATAATGTATGTTGAATCAAAAATTCCTATATATTTATCATAGGGTATTCATATAGTTCCAGTGAATATGGTTTCTTAAAATGTAAAAAACTACTCTATACTGACATAAAATAATTCTCATTTTGTTCAGAACCACTTGATATCTATTATTGATACCAAACCTTTATAATATGTTTATATACTTTTTTTTTTTTACTTATTCAATATATTAGACCAGAAAATCTGTGATTCTCAAGGTTTCTAATTGAGGATAAAGCCATATACTCAAGGTGAGTGTAATGGCTCAGTGGACTAAACTGCCACTTTGGATGCCTGCATTGCGTCCTGCCTCTGCTCCTATCCAGCTTCCTGCTAAATCACCTGGGAGGCAGCAGATGATAGCCTAAGTATGTGGCAGACCTGCCATGCATGTGAGAGACCTGGATGGATCCTGGCTTCAGCCTGAACCAGCGCCAGTTGTTTCCAGCATTTGCGGAGTAAACCAGCAGATGGAAGATCTCTGTTTCCCCCTCCTTCTCTGTTACTCTGCCTTTCACATTAATCAATCATTTTTTTTTTCTTTTTAAGATTTATTTTTTATTTGAAAGAGTTACAGAGAGAGAGAGAAGTAGAGACAGGGAGACAGAGATCTTTCATCCACTGGTTTACTCCTCAAATGGCCACAATGGCCAGGGCTGGGCCAAGCTGAAGTCAGGAACCAGGAGCTTACTTACTCTGGGTCTCTCACTTGGGCCATCCTCTGCTGCCTTCCCAAGTGCATTATCAGGGGCTGGGTCTGAAGTGTAGCAACTAGGAATTGAACTGGTGCCCATATGGGATGCTGGCATTGTAGGTGGTGGCTCAACCCACTATGCCATGACACCAGCCCCTCAATCAATCTTTTTTTTAAGATTGATTTATTTACTTGAAAGGCAGAGTTACAGACACAGAGAGAGGGAAAGACAGAGAGAGAGAGAGGTCTTCCATCCACTGGTTCACTTTTTTAAAAAAGGCAAATACTCATGTTTTGAAAACTTCAGAGACTGGCGCTATGGTATAGTAGGTTATAACCTCTTGCTGTGCTGACATTCCCCTATGGGCACCGGTTCAAGTACTAGCTGTTCCACTTCCAATCCAACTCCCTGCTGATGACCTGGTAAAGCAGTAAAAGTTGGCCCAAGTGCTTGGGCCCCTGCACCCACATGGGAGACATGGAAGAGGCTTCTAGCTCCTGGCTTCGGATTGGCGCAGTTCTGGCCATCGCGGCCATTTGGGGAGTGAACCAGTGGATGGAAGACCTCTCTCTCTGTAGCTCTGCCTCTCATGTAAATAAATATTTCAAAAAGAAAACTTTATTAAGGTATTAAACATTCTTCTGTGCTATAGACCAGAGCAGTTAAGAGTCAGAATTATTTTTTTTAGAATTATGGAAATACCACTTTTTTAGGATTTTATATTTTTAAAATGTTTAGAAAGACCCTTTCTTTTATTTAGCAGAACATTTTAAGTGAGACTGCTATATTTTTTTCCCTAGAAATCATGTATGTGAAGAATACAAACTTCATACTGCTATGTTTCTTGGATTCATTTGTTCAACAAGTATTTTTTGAGTGCCTCTGTGGATCAGCACCACGTTTTCTGAATTATTGAGTAGTGTTTTTTTTTTTTTTTTGAAAATCAGTAAGAAGATTTTTAATGTTATTTTTTAAAATTCTGAGCATAATCACTTTCCTTTGTAGGTGTCTCAGACATGAATTCAAAGAGCTGGACAAACCATGAGAATAAAACAGTCAATAAAATCACTGTGGTTGGAAGTGGAGAGTTGGGTATTGCCTGCACGTTAGCACTTTCAGCAAAGGTATGTAAGCATATGGTTATAAATACATCTGTCCCAGCACCATACTCTTTCGCAGTTTATATTAAACATCTGAAAAATAGCAGCATCATTTTGACATGTAGGAAAATGTCATTTTGCCCTACTGTAGGGCTACATTTTTGCCCTATTGTAGGGCAAAAAAGTAGCTGAAAGCTCTCAGTGATGTTACTTCTTAATTAGTAGTTAGTCATGGAATAGGTTTTGAAAAAGTGATTGGAACAATGGTCTCCTCCCAATCCAGCTTGACGTTCGTCCTGCTTAGTCACAAATTCTTTTGTGTTTTCTGAGTCATGCTGCTTTAATTAAACTCTTATTTAATGTAATACTGAATTTTATTTTAAAAGTTTTTAAGTGCTGTAATATTTTTATCATATATAATATTTAATTTTAGCTCTTTCTAAAACTAGCATTTTTCAAAAAAAGATTGCCTTTAATTATATAATTACTGTCTTTTAAGGGCATAGATTCTGAGTTGATGTTTTATACTAGGTTAGCGTTTATTTATTTCTTCATCAATCTTGTTTTTCGAGATCTTCTCTATCTAAGTTCTTTTTATTTTTATTTTTTATTTTTTGACAGGCAGAGTGGACAGTGAGAGAGAGAGACAGAGAGAAAGGTCTTCCTTTTTGCCGTTGGTTCACCCTCCAATGGCCGCTGCGGCCGGCGCACCACGCTGATACAATGGCAAGAGCCAGGTACTTATCCTGGTCTCCCATGGGGTGCAGGGCCCAAGTACTTGGGCCATCCTCCACTGTACTCCCTGGCCACAGCAGAGAGCTGGCCTGGAAGAGGGGCAACCGGGACAGAATCCGGTGCCCCGACCGGGACTAGAACCCGGTGTGCCAGCGCCGCAAGGCGGAGGATTAGCCTAGTGAGCCGCGGCGCCGGCTTCTATCTAAGTTCTTTACAGAAAGGCTTACTGTCCTCTTCCAGGGAGGCTCAAAAGACCTGCCCGCTCCCCCAGAGCCCAGTGTCATATGAGAGAGGTGGCCTGGAAAAGAATAGCTGTCCCCTGTGTATTAATTGGGTGGCTGATAGTAGTTTTTCTTTTCCATTAAAATATGATTGCTTTGCCATTTAAATTACTCCCAGTCTGTTTAAAGTTCACAACCTTGCATGTCTTACAGGTAGGTTCTACTTCAGCAAATAATTTAATTATGTGCAGAGAGCTAGAAAATTTTAGAAACTAATGGCTCAGAACCATGTTTGGTAACTTTCTTGTTTCTTTCCTCCATCCTGCATCTGAATACACTGCTCTCTTAATTAGAATTTGGGTTGTTTTCAGTTCTTTTGTTACTAAATAAAATGCTCCCATAAACATGACTTCACAAGTTGCTTATTTTCTTGTCTGAGTTGTTTTCTGTTGAGTGTTCATCATCTCAAAAATAGTGCTAGTGAGTCAGAGGGCACGGGTGCTTTCCTGGTACTTGTTATAGTTTGCTAGGTTGCTCTTCAGGACAAACCGAATTATGGGAGCAATAACAGGCACATCTGCTTGATCTTTGACATCCCTAACAGTACTGAGTTTTATTCTTTTTATTTGTAGTTATTTGTCTACTTTTGGTAAGCACATGAAGGCACCTTAAAGTCATGTTTGTTTATTAGAAGAGTTTCAGTGTCATTACTCATCTGGGAACTGTCCTAGAATGGAACTCTTTTTTTCGTTTTTCTCAATAAACATTTTTATTTATTTATTTTTAACTTTTATTTAAGGAATATAAATTTCCAAAGTACATCTTATGGTTTACAATGGCTTCCCCTCCCCATAACTTCCCTCCCACCTGCAACCCTCCCCTTTCCCTCTTCCTCTCCCCTTCCATTCACATCAAGATTCATGTTCAATTCTCTTTATATACAGAAGATCAGTTTAGCATATATTAAGTAAAGATTTCAACAGTTTGCACCCACATAGAAACATAAAGTGAAAAATACTGTTTGAGTATTAGTTATAGCATTAAATCACAATGTACAGCACATTAAGGACAGAGATCCTACATGAGGAGTAAGTGCACAGTGACTCCTGTTGTTGACTTAACAAATTGACACTCTTGTTTATGGTGTCAGTAATCACCCTAGGCTCTTGTCATGAGTTGCCAAGGATATGGAGCCCTTTTGAGTTCACCGACTCTGATCATATTTAGACAAGGTCGTAGTCAAAGTGGAAGTTCTCTCCTCCCTTCAGAGAAAGGTACCTCCTTCTTTGATGACCTGTTCTTTCCACTGGGATCTCACTCGCTGAGATCTTTCATTTAGGTTTTTGTTTTTTGTTTTTTGTTTTTTGCCAGTGTCTTGGCTTTCCATGCCTGAAATACTCTCATGGGCTTTTCAGCCAGATCCACGTGCCTTAAGGGCTGATTCTGAGGCCAGAGTGCAGTTTAGGACATCTGCCATTCTATGGGTCTGCTGTGTATCTCGCTTCCCATGTTGGATCGTTCTCTCCCTTTTTTATTCTATCAGCTAGTATTTGCAGACACTAGTCTTGTTTATGTGCTCCCTTTGGCTCTTAGTCCTATCATTATGATCAATTGTGAACAGAAATTGATCACTGGGACTAGTGAGATGGCATTGGTACGTGCCACCTTGATGGGATTGAATTGGAATCCCCTGGTATGTTTCTAACTCTACCATTTGGGGTAAGTCAGCTTGAGCATGTCCTGAATTGCACATCTCTTCCCTCTCTTATTCCCACTCTTATATTTAACAGTGATCACTTTTCAGTTAAGTTTCAACACTTAAGAATAACTGTGTATTGATTACAGTATTCAACCAAAAGTATTAAGTAGAACAAACAAACAAACAAAAATACTAAGAGGGATAACAGATTAAGTACCAGAAGCACAGGCCGTCAAAGCCAAAATTAACATTTGGGATTGCATCAAATTGAGAAGTTTCTGTACTTCAAAAGAAACAGGAGAGTGAAGAGGCAACCAACAGAATGGGAAAAAATATTTGCAAACTATGCAACAGATAAAGGGTTGATAACCAGAATCTACAAAGAAATCAAGAAACTCCACAACATCAAAACAAACAACCCACTTAAGAGATGGGCCAAGGACCTCAATAGACATTTTTCAAAAGAGGAATTCCAAATGGACAACAGACACGTGAAAAAATGTTCAAGATCACTAGCAATCAGGGAAATGCAAATCAAAACCACAATGAGGTTTCACCTCACCCCAGTTAGAATGGCTCACATTCAGAAATCTACCAACAATAGATACTGGAGAGGATGTGGGGAAAAAGGGACACTAACCCACTGTTGGTGGAAATGCAAACTGGTCAAGCCCCTATGGAAGTCAGTCTGGAGATTCCTCAGAAACCTGAATATAACCCTACCATTCAACCCAGCCATCCCACTCTTTGGAATTTACCCAAAGGAAATTAAATTGGCAAACAAAAAAGCTGCCTGCACCTTAATGTTTATTGCAGCTCAATTCACAATAGCTAAGACCTGGAACCAACCCAAATGCCCATCAACAGTAGACTGGATAAAGAAAGTATGGGACATGTACTCTATAGAATACTATACAGCAGTCAAAAACAATGAAACCCAGTCATTTGCAACAAGATGGAGGAATCTGGAAAACATCATGCTGAGTGAATTAAGCCAGTCCCAAAGGGACAAATATCATATGTTCTCCCTGATTGGCGACAACTAACTGAGCACCAAAGGGGAAACTTGTTGAAGTGAAATGGACACTATGAGAAACAGAGACTTGATCAGCTCTTGTCCTGACTGTTGATGTACAATGTAATACTTTATCCATTTTAGTATTTTTTTTTTGTTTTTGTTCTAGTACTATTGGTTGAACTCTGTAATTAACACACAATTATTCTTAGGTGTTTAAATTTTAACTCAAAAGTGATCCCTGTTAGGAATTTGGAAAACAACTAACTGAGCACCAAAAAGGAAACCTGTTAAAGTGAAATGAACACTATGAGAAACGGTGGCTTGATCAGCCTTTGCCCTGACTGTTGATGGACATTTTTATTTTTATACAAGGTATAAAATTTATTTTTTAAAGATTATTTGAGAGGTAGAGTTACAGAGAGAGAAAGAGAGGTCTTCCATCTGCTGCTTCATTCCCCAAATGATCCTAATGGCCAGAGCTGGGCCAGCTCAAAGCCAGGGGCCAGGAACAACTTCTGGGTCGGGTCTCCCACATGAGTGCAGGGGCCTAATTACTTGGGCCATCTTCCACTGCTTTCCCAGGCTGTAATCAGGGAGCTGGCTCAAAGTTCGAGCCAGGACTGGAACTGGCACTCATATGGGATGCCAGCACTGCAGGCCAGCACTGCAGGCTTATTCTACTACACCACAGTGTCAGCCATAAGGTATAAAATTTAAATACAGCAACAATAGTAACATTTATAGTAGTGGTATTAGTAGCACCAGTAACTAACCTTTATTATATGCTTACTAGTGCCAGGCACTTTTCTAAACATGTGACTCATTTTTACAGTAGCCCTATTAGGTACTGTTGTTACCGCCATCTTACAAATGAAGAAACGGGGGCACAAGAGGTTACTCAATTTGCCCAAAGTCACACTGTTAATAAATAATGGATTTGAAGATAGGTAATCTGTTCAGCAGAGCCTGTATTCCAGGTCCTTACTACTCAAGTGTGGCTTTTAGATCAGTAGCATTGGCATCCCTGGAGATTTTATTAAAAATGGGCAATCCCAGGCCCCAACCCAGACCTACTGATGCAAAATCTGCATGTTAGTAAAATCCCTAGTGATCCACATTTTTCACTGAACTCTTAAGTCGAGACCCTTTAAAGCACCAGATGATCTTCTCAGAATCACTGCTTTACGCTGCTTCATTGTTGTTGTTGACAAGCATTCTAGTTGTTTCTAGTCTTTGGCACATCCTTTATGAATATCCTTGTACATCATGTATTGTGTTATACTACTAAATGTGTGGAATCATTTCCATAAATGAGATTGATGGACTACAGCAGTGATTAAATTTAAACATTATTATGTGTTGAGGTTTTTATAGAAGTTGTCAAATTTTTCCTTTTGTCAACTGTACAGAGTTTATTCCCAGATCTACAGTATACGAGAGTGCTTGTCTTCTCACAACTACTGTTAAACTTTTGGATCTTCATGTGTCTGATAAATGAAAATGGTTTTCTTTGCATTTCCCTTACTGATGTGATTAGCACCAGTTAAAATATAGCTATGACTTAGAGAGGACTGCTCTATGCTACTCCTGTGTCTGGTAATTTAGGCTGACAGTTCTGTGAAGAAAGGCTGAGTTCAGTGACTTGCCCACTGTTACATAGCTACAACTAAGTATAGCAGTTTGTTTTCCTAACCACTACACTTTCTTAACAATAGTCTGATAGATCTCTGGGTACTTTTGCCCTTGCAGCCCAAGGTTGGAGAGATCCACAGATTCCTACTACTTTGGATAAAGACCTTCCACATAGGGAAAATGACTCCTAGGAGTTCCTCTGCTGTTTACAGTCAGCCCCCTTGCCTTTCAGGGAGCCATATTTAGAGAGAAAAGGTGGGGGGGGGGGGAGAAAGAGGTAGGGGTGAGCGAGAGGTGGAGAACAGAGAGGGAGGTAGGGGAGGGAAGTGATAGGGGGGTGAAAGAGAGGTGGGGGAAGAGAGGTGTGGGGAAAGAGAAATATGTG